GCATCGGCCCGAAGTGGATCCACTAAACAGCGTCGGGGATTTCATGCCATACATGCGTGCTCAAAAGGATCGAAAAGTCCACATGAAACAATATGCACACATATATACCTAGCTGCGTGTGCTTCACCTACCCCCAAGCAGAACTCTTGATGAGGATATACCTTTTTAAAAAAAATGCAAGACTCAGTAATCGTAAGCACCGGCACACAAGGTGTCCAAAATCTGGCAAATAAGCCGCCGAATCAACCGAAAGTACAACAAAATGGAGGCGAGCCATTTGTCATGGGTTGCCATTTGTCATGGGTTCACATTGTTCTCCCTCATGTCACGCATGTCCAAGTCCAAGGGGCAGGTCTTCTTTGGGGGGAAATGATGAAAAATTTGATATAGCAAAAGTTGAAGCATCATATGACATATTGTCGCGCTGATCACCAAAAGCGATCAACAGAAGGTTACTACAGTGTGGCTTTCAAATGTCCAAGGCACGCGTGTTCCAAGTCCAATCCATACTCTGGATGTGCCCGCAATCTTCGCTGTTCAACGGGCTCCTGTGAGATGCGCTCCAAACGTGAGGCCTCGGAACCCGGGATCGCCAAGGCGGTCACTCGACCACCGATCTTGGCACGGACCGTGTGCCCCACGAGGGATGCCTTACCAAAGAGCCGCTGGGAGCCACTGGTCGACCGCGAGGAAGCACCGCGGGAGGCCATGGGGAAACGACCATTACGACCAAGAACCGCAAAGTATACAATGCTATAGATACAAGATCCAAACAAGTTATAAAATCTGCCGTGAGATGTGCAGTAAAGCATGTGGTTTCCACAGCTCACTTGCTCCCTTGCCTTGGCTGCTGTTGAGATGGCTTTTCTGAAACTTGCGTGTTCTCGCTCCGTCGGCTAGCTCCAAAGGCTTCAAATTGCATCCAGTTCCCCTACCAAGCTGACTTCGATAAAGTCACGAGCCATGAACGCAAAATTGCAAGTGCACATAAACATAAGATTGTAGTGCAGGAGCAAATGCATACGTACAAATGTCCATCAATACCTACACACAAGACTGCGGCCGTGTCAAAAGCAAACTTCGCTCCATGCGTGCAGCAAGGCTCCAACTTCAAGCAGCTCTGCGCGCACCCCGGTGGCGGTGCAGGGAAGCCAGGGGCTGGGTAGTGCGCCTTGCAGCTGCAAAAGACTTCAAGTATCAAGATGGATGAAGCTGTCTCCCAAGTCTGCGGCATATGGGGAGGGGCCTGGCAGCATAAAAGCAAATACTTTGCAGTTCCTCCCCACCAAGCCATTTCGAAAATGCTTGCCCTGAAAGAGTCAACCGACTCTAATGCCAAGCCCCACGCGGTAAAAATGTGGCGCAGGCTGTACATGCCCCTTGGCTGGCCAATGTGGTCTTCGCATGATTTAAATATTGGCGACCCGGACTACACATCCGTTCATGGGCCTTGCGAAGCCGAGAGGTGTGCACCCATCTTAGAAACGACACCAAGTGAGGTTGCTTTAAATATATATATATATATATGTGTGTGTGTGTGTTTATATAGCTGAGAAAGGAGAGGGCGAAAGCCAGCGAGAGACCAATATGGTAGTGCAAGACTGGGAGGAAAAAAATAGCAGAACACTTATTGTTGAATGCCTGTAGCTTTCGTGGAGCTTGTATCAACGTGGAGTAGATTAAGGTCGGAGCACAGCATGAAGTGTTGAATGTTGTAGGTTTTTTCGATTCTTTTTTGCGCGGTGCTCTCTGGAGCGTCCCTGTTTGGTGGTCTATTTGAGAATCCGTGTAAAAATAAACGTCAGTGAAGACCAGGAGAAGGATGCCCGAAAGGTGGTTATTGGTTGTTTTCAAACGTGTTTCGGGCATCGTGCATCAGTGCGAAGCCCTATAGAGAGCAGGGCTGGGAGGAAAAAAATAGCAGAGCACCTCTGAGATCAAGATCGGGGCGCAGCATGAAGTGTTGAACGCTTGCAGCTTTCTTGCTTCTCCTCTTGCGGCGCTCTTATCCCCAAGCCTCTACCTCGCCCAACTGGACATACTCACATCGTTCGCTCCCGGAGCGTTCACTCTTTGTTGCTTGGTCCTTCTTGGTGTGATCAGAGCTACACAGTCCCTATGCCCTGCTCAGGACTGAAAAATTGTCTCCAACCCCCCTTCATGATGCTAATGATGCACTACTCGGCGTCCATTGCATCACTCGCATCACCAGACCCCATTTTCACTGCGTTTCTGACCCTCGCTTTGGAGCGCTCTCCCCCACCAAGCTCCGGGTTCACCCTCTCAAAAGGTGCCTTTTCGCGCCCTCCCCCCCACACACACCCTTAACTCACTTCGTTCGCTCTAAGAGCTCAAGCCTAGCCTGTCGGCTGGCTTTCGTAATTAATATTACTTTTATATATATATATATATACAGTATATATTATACAGTAAATATAAGTATATTTAAAAAAAGATATATATATATATATATCAACGCTTTTGCCACAGCTACAATCGTTTTCGATGTCTTTCCTCTTACTTATTGTGTGTGTGTGACTTATGTCAAATGTTTGGGGCCTATAGTATATGCAGATTTCCTCCTATTGTTTCAAGTGTTGGGGGCCAGGGGTATTGCAACATAGTATATAGTTGTATGCAATTGCACGCATATATACTGTATATACTAGAGCACTTTTCCTTCAGTCTCCATCCACTGTCTGATGTGGTTGGGCCCCTGTTTGAGGAAAGCTGGGGATGGGGCGTCCTTCATTTGAGAGGGCTTCGTAATTTCATCCGAGCCCCAAATCAATAGCACAACACATTTCAAGAAATCATCCCTAAATCAACATGTCTCTGTCCACAGGGTGTGCTTTCCTCTTATCGTTTTTTGTGTTCGCGCTCACCCCGCTACTTTGGGAACTGCTCTCACACAACGTTGAAGGGAAATACATTCTACAACCCCAGGTTCAAACAAGACATCGGGGGCAACCCGGGATGGACCTTTCAGAGGTCACGTTGTTTTATATCAGCAGGCCGGCCCAGTATAAAAGGCACCTGGGCTGCCAGGGTGACCAGGGAGAAGAAGTGCATTTGGACAAGGAGCCCGGCAAAAGCGACATTTCTTTCTTCAGCGGAGCAACCAGGCGACCTCCTTCCAGAATCTCCCTGCACGTTCCATCGAAACTGAAAGTTGTAAGCGTAGCTCCATGGCCTCTGTGACGCCACTCTGGCACCTGCTTCGGTCTCACGGGCACTCAAAGCCTTGGGCATAGACTGCTTCACAAGTTCCAGGAGTTGTCTAGAGCTTGCGTTCCCGCAGCAGATGCCTGGTGGGCAAACTTTTTCTTTTGACCTTTCAGGCCTTTAGTAATCTCATGTTTCCTACGGTTCACCTCCGCGAAGGGAAAGTTGTTCAGGAGACACATGTGCTCCCGAGCTCTGTTGCCATCCCGACATATCATGCATTTCTTCGGGCTCACCCCGTCCAACAAATGTGTTTCTCGTACTTCCTCAGAACTTTCAGTTGGGGGCACCAGCTTGGCTTGCAAGGGCCGCAGCCGGTCTGTCAACGCCCAATGTGCCAGCCACACAAATGTGTAACTGAAAATATCCAGTCGCTTCCTCAGAAAGTTTCTCCCCCATATGTATATACAGCCATCTGGGCAGACCCAGTGGGGTTGGGACCCTGGCCAATTTGAAATTTGGGGGTTCAGCCTCATCCTAGTCTCCACGCCTTAGATAGAAACTAGGAACCCAACAAAGAGCTTGATTAGGTCCATTTCAGCCAACCCCAGATATCTCCTAGATAAAACGCCTACTTTACTACCCCAACATTATACACTTTGACATGCTGGGGCTCTTGGGCTCTTAGGGTCATGGCTCGAGAATAGCAGCCAAAATGGCTTCAAGAGTTCCTTCAGGCAGATTGCCTCAACCAATGGCGTGTGTTTCTTCGAGTGGTTGTAACTGGTTAAGTTATACTCCTGGCCAAACAAACCCGCATCCAAGTATATAAAATGATTTAGCAAACAGGACTCAGCTAAAATAACCTAGTCCCACATCTGTTAGTGTTATTGACTTGTGCTGGCCCAAGCAATTGAAAAAAAGACACGGTTGCTAAAGTCAATCGGCTAAAATTATAGGATCCTAGATCTGTTGAATTTCTGCATCTGGTTTAGCCAACCTGGGTCTAGCCCCAGGATCCAGTTTAGCCAAGGTCTTAAAAACAACAGTGGGGTCGCACACCTGGCTAAAGCCAGGGTCTCAAGCCACCCCTTTCTAGCCACTGTGGCCAAACAGCTCTCATATGTTTGTCAAGCCATGATTTGACAAGAGGTTTCAAGGATACTGTATTTTTGGAGGCCCAGGCCTTTCTCAATCATCCATCTGGCCACATCAAAACCCAAGGATCGATTGCAAAAACATCAACACAGGGTGGTTCTCAGAAGAAAAGTATAATATAACTGGCCCAAACGCAACAAAAGAACGAGACAAAAAGGAAAACGAAGTTCGGTAGTGTGCTTCGGTAGTGTGCTGAATGTGTATACGGCTGGCTGCGTATGTGAAACGGCTGCATGAAGGTGTGCACATTGTGCCCCAGCCCAAACCCCCCCCCCCCCCCACCAACACGGAGTCTATGCTTGTGACATGCAAACGCGTGTAAAACTCTAAAAATTGTGGTTTCGCTCGGGGCGCCGGATAGCGTCGTAGACTCAAACAAGGATCTGGAGGAGCATGAGGATGAGGATAATGTCCAGGAGGATGTCCTCTGTAGTCCTCAAGTCGAATCCCAGGTCGGCAAAGTCTTTACAAGCTGTTCTTCTTTTGCGAATTCCATAGGTTTGGCGCTATGCATAGCCTTGACGCGACCCTTTAACAAAAGGCCAACCAATCTCTCAACCCCGTCCCATGCTGGCGTGCTTGCGGCAGATGGACCTTCAGAATCACCATGCGATGGGTGAAAAAATTGTCTATATAATAAGCTAAAATGATACAGCCGATGAGCAAGTGATGGCATGAAGGACGAAAAGCAGAAAACAACCTTCAAAAGCATCACTGAGCGCCTGGTTGAATAGAGTATTGCGGGGGCGATGCTGAGCCTAAGAGCATCTTTCTGGCCAGCGCACATTTGCACAAACAAGTACGGGGGACGGAAATACATGTTGCTCTGACTCGGCATGCTTCCTCTCACCGCAAAAGTATCTCGGTCGGCAGCCGGTCGACATGGCAGGCACACTGGATGGCACAGCAGCCTACAAAAGGCAAAGAAAGCCAATTTCTAGGTCCAAAGTCCAAAGCAAATGGATGCAAATGGCATCTTTGGCCTCCTGTGGCTGGGACCAGCTGCCTGGTGGAGGCCCTGGTGGAGCTTCCTAGGCAAGGAAATGAAACTGGGCTGAGTTCAAAACCTTCGAATATTAAACCTGAGCACACAGCCGTCGGCCTAAGAGGGCGGCTTGGCCGTCCTTTCAATCACATCAAGGGCACGTCGTAGAGTCACATGACTTCTCACCCTTTCCCGCTCACTGTGTTAGTTTTTAAGACATTTGTGCCAATCCTGGTGATGGACTTCTGGAATTAGCTCTCCTGTCACTGGGACACGGAAACGCCATGGCAAAAACTTGCTGTATGCAGATGTATGCAGCATATATTGGACTATCCTGGACCCACACCAACAACGGCGCGTCACATGTCGGAACAAGAGAATCTCGAGTGCAAGACCTCCCACGAATTCTTGACATCGATTTACGATTTGGGTTTGATCAAAGCTTTCTCCTTGGTGAGCTACCAGTCGACCAGCTCGAATAGTAGCCTCAGCCAAACACCAGAACGGGAGCAGCTCAGAACAAACCATGACGTCTGGTCACCTCGCTGACACTTTCGGAGGTAAAGGAACCCCAAGGAATTGATCAGCGTAGGTTTCCAGCTCCCATAGCTGGAGTAGCTGTAGAAGCTGCTCCGGCTGCCGCTTCGACTGCGCGCCTGGCCCCGCAACCAGTTTGTGGCTCAAGAGCTTTGGGTGCACTTCAAACGTGATTGTGCATTTGTCCAGAGTCCAGAGGTCCCTTCATGCAGGAAAGAGCCTTGTACACGGAAGCATGTGAGCTTGAGTGGAACCCTCCGAGGGAAAATGAGGATGTCTGCCACAATGCAAATCGATTCACCAAGCCCAAGGGGCGACGAGTTTGGCCGAAGTCGCGGCACCGTTTTGCTTGGCCCAAGAAAGAATTAGCCGCCTGCAGAAGACCTGGTGGCTGATCAACGAGTTCTGTAGTTTGGTCCATGACAGCGAGGAAAGGAATCGAATAATCTTTATTACACACTGTCACAGCTGCGGAAGGAAAAGTCGAGGCTTCAGTTTGTTACTGTGGGACAGTGGGGCAACTTCCGCCCACCAGCTCTGCCGGAGGCTTGCCTCGTATTTCTATCATACATTACATATGTTTGTGGAAGGGAACAATATGGAAAAACATTGAAAAACTAAAAAATAAGACCTTCGATTTATCTTTTGTGAAAATGATACTTTCACGGATCTTTCGCGGATGGTTTGGACAGCATCTAAGAATCTAAAAAGTTTGCGACGTTTTGTGCACAACCCCTGATACACGCCGCAAATTGCCGCAATAAGATCAACTCTGCAATGATCTGCGAATCCCTGCACCAATGAAGGCGCCAACACCGCCGGCCGTGCCCGGTAGCCACGGCTACTGTTGTGCAAAGGTCTGTGGACCTACCAGTCTGTAGATGGAAGACTTCTCATTAACACATTGGCTAGAGTGACTGGTAAGTTCTCGTGCTCATTCAATTCCAAAAAGGTCGGTTATGTCATCTCAAAAGTTGAGATTGATATGCACATGCGGCCACATGCGTTGACTAGCAAGCAGTGGCTGCTGTGCCTGGGATGTGCCAAGCTCATTCTGCTCGCTCTCAGGATCTGGAACAAGCACCTGCTTCCAAAATCATGCGAATGCTGAGCTGCCACTGTAAGTGCAAAATTATGAAGATATCGTCAATCATACACATCCCGGCTGCTGCTGAGAATGTGTTTAAAAAACCTTTTGGCCACATGCTTTCAAATCTCTATCCCAGGCTCCGTTGGCCTGTGAACGTCAAGTCTAGCTAAATCTAGGTGTGTAAGCCAGAAGTGAGGGCCTTGGCAAATTCTCATGCAAACATCCCAGCGCTCTCAGGCACCCTAGCAACACATGCAACTGACATCCTACCATTGCCAGCATTGCCGGAGAGGCACAGATTTGACAGATGCTTGCTTATCTAAAGCATGCGGCTACAAATTCGGCTCATTTGCTTTGGTAATCTTCCGAGCTGTTGTTGCGATCCGCTTTTTCAGAGGTCTCACAGCACTTCCGAAGTTACAGGTGTGTCAGCGAGATCTGCCACCTTTCCCATGATGGACCTGACGAAAGCTTTGTTGTTCTTCAAGCTGTGAGGAACCGATTCCCAGGGTGCCGGACCCAACGCCTTGTGATGCCAAAACACCCGGCCGCCGGGGCCTTTCCGACAAATCCAGCCATCAGTGCATTGCTCAGGAGGCGGCAATGACGGAGGTTCCAGCCGCTTCATCAACGTCGGAAGTGTCAGGGACGCGTCCCGGTCCTGATCACATTCTTGGCACTCTTGAGAGCACAGCTGCCTCTTCGTAGCGGAGGTGCAACAGTCAAACCGCTGGAACCACCGCATCGGTTCCAAGCCCTGGAACCACGACACAGGTTCGGCCGGCTTCCTTAAACGTGGCCTGGCCCTCGCAGCAAACAACAATTCCTTCGGATCAGCATCCACTGCAAAGGACACAGCCACTTGGCCCATGTCTGAACCTTCAGAGTCTCTCAACGAAACTATCTGCACTGAGCTGCCCCAGCGGAACCAATCCTCGGAAGAAAAAGGACTGCAAATAGGGAGCACATGTCGCAACAAGTCTGCAGTTGCCATGCCCACGACGTCAGCAGGAAGCTTCACCGTCACCAAGCCCAAAGAGATGTCGTTCTGGACCCTCACACGGAAGTTCAAACTTGAAGATGCCTGCAGCTCCTCCACTGAGGTTGTGAAGAGCATCACAGCGTTGAAGCGCCAAGGGCACTCATGCCCACCGGGAATCCAGCCTGACTGGCCCGACTCTTTCATGCAGCTAGCTTCATCATCCCAGTCAGCACACTCCGTCTCCTCTACCAAACCTCCTGCAGCAGGAATGAAAGTGGCCTGAAGCTGAAGGCGGGAAGCAAAATAACATTTGGTAAAAAATTGAATCCCCGGTGCTACCGACTGCTGAGGTTCACCCCCATTTTATTTAAGATTTGTCATCTAAAATGACTAGCAAGGCTTAAAGACCTGTACATCTCATTTTAGGAAAAAAATAAAGTGCAAAAAGAAAACCACTTTCTGTCGTGACTGGCTAATTTAACTGTGCGAAGAGTTCATCCGTGTCATCCATTTTATACAAGACCCATTTTAGATAACCCTTAAACTAAATAAGTCAAAAAAGGGGGTTCCGTGGTCGACCACACTCATTTTAGCTAACCTGTAGCAATGGGGGATCAATGGGAGATGTAATTCAATAATGTTCCGAGTTCCTAATAATTCTACAAATAGCTGGGCTGAACATATATTTTCATACGCAGCACCGAAAGCAAGAACTATCTCAAACATTGGAAGGTGTAACTGTAGCAGGATCGTAGAAGTTCTATAATGGCCCATCCAGCCCAACATCCAGTGACGTGTTCCAATAGATCGGGAGCTCTGAGTGTAAACCAACTTACCCGTGGTTCCTTGTAGTGCTGTCCAGTTTTTGCACCAGAACTCTGTGAGAGTTTTTGGAACAAAAATAACACTGCAGGCAGAAAGAGTGTCTGCGCATGTGTTTGCATATGTTTGCACCACCTGCGCCGTTTGCGCCGCCTGCCGAGCCTCGGACAGTGGACTTCCGGGGCACATCGCGCACCACGAGTGCTATAGCGGAGCACCGCGCTGTGGGCGCGCGCGGTGAGCGATGCGCGCACATGGCTGTGTGCAGTTTAGGCTCGCGCAAGCAATCTGAAAAACTCGTGTCCAGTGCAAATTTAGATTCTATGTGGAATCCGGGCATTTCGAAAATGAAGTCGTCGATCATTCAACAAAACAAAAATCCCTCAAAGCTGACACGTTGAAAAACGCAAAGATCCCAAATGGGCTGGAGAGGATGGTGGGATCTGAGTTAATTGTCATTAGTTTATCTGGGCTTAGCAGGCGGAGCGGATGGAGCGGGTGGAACGGGTGGAGCCGAAGAGGCTGGTCCCTCTCGCAATGAAAAGTAACCCCTCATGTCCCGAGTCCTAGCTCTGCTTCCAATCGTGGACGCTTGGAATTCCACGATCCTGGCTGCAAGGTGCCGATCGAGGCAGCAAAGACTTGTACTAAAAGCTGGAAGTTCCCCAAGGAGGCCTGAGATGAAGTCGGTTGCACTGTCGCAAACAAGCCAGGTGGGGAAGGTGCATAATTGCCTTTGCTTTTCGCCTTCATATGCATACCTCTACCCCCAAAAACAAAAAACAAAAAACAGCTTACAAAACTCAAAATGAACAGAGATGATGATCTATATATAAAACTGCTGCAGCAGCCCCCCCACATAGGTAGAAATAACTTCTGCAATCACATGATAGTGCCTCATTGGCGTATAATATGCAATAATATGCATAAAAATGCCCTTTCTATCTATGTGAGGGCCATTGTCGGTTGATCGAGCGACATCAAACCCATCGTCAGATCCATCTGCCATGATGCTGCTGGTGGGAGCTGTCAATGAAGCCGCCACTGCGTTGCTCTTTCTTGATGTTCACAAATGTTCAGTCTATGTTGTCCCTTTTCTGTTGAAGCTGAGTGTTGAAGCCCACACACAAATCTATTCATTGCTATTCTATTCTTACGGGGCCAATCAGCCTTTCAACTTTAGTCTCACATGTCTCACATTTGGCTCGTAGGGGTTGGCTCTTGCAATTGCACACGGTCGCCACGGCAGCCCTTCAGGAGGAATTTGTGCCAAGTCGCATCGCGCAGTGAGCGAGAGTTCATGCAACGCCCGCCCCTCATTTAGAGAAGATTGGAGAAGCTGCGACTTTATATAGCCGCCAAGGTACTTTTCGACTTCAGTCGCTAAGGTGCTTTTACACGGAAACGCACGGACACCCCAACAAAGCAGGATCTCGGATTGCAGGCCTTCGGTTTCACCTGCTCACTTGGATCAATCCTGAGAGACAGCAACAAGAAAAGAGCAAGTGGCAAACGTACTTCGTCCAAGTGGCAATTGGTATGGATCGTATGCCGTCTTTTGTAGGTCTCCGTCCCTCAGCCACATACCCAAAATGATTTTGGAATGCAGTCTGCGATTTGATTTGTCCTAGAATCCTAGAACCGGCAGCTTGTCGCAGCATGACTCAGATAGGGATCGAACTCCGCTCTGGACTCCTGACGCAGGCTGCGTTTTCCTTGGCGTGGTAGTAGTCCACTGACGTATCTAAAGAACCCGCTTAAAAAGACGCACCAATTTCTGTGGTGAATAGTGTGGAGCACACCTTCGGCCTCCAAATCCTCCAACAAATCTAATATATATGTAGATAGAGGATTAAAAACTGTGTTGTCGGGATGATGCTATCGTCAAAGACTCACAAAATGGGTCAAGGTCGACAAACCTATGCATTGTCTGCAGCCATGGTACGACCTGCGAGCCGTTTAGCGCCTTGCCATCCACAAACGTTCAAGCTTTAGAACATTGGAAGGTCGCATTGCATACATACAGAGTTTAAAAGATTCGACTGAAGGAAAGCCTAAGGCCACAAAATTCTGACTGCAACAAGCGCCATTTGATGTTGTGCGCCAACCTACACCTTCCTGGACATGGCCTGCTCATATGCATCGCATGGGACATCACATGACTGGCGCCAGATGCCATTTCTGTACTATCTGTGCATCGATTCGGAAAATAAAGCTTGCATATATAAATTGGATACAGCTCAGTATTCGCAGTGCGATCTCATGAGAATACACTGACTACAGCTCGGTTGACCACCAAGGTTTCTCGGCTTTGGTTTGGTGGATCGTTTGATTTCACCGCGAAGTCCTTGGCCCGTCCGATCCCTGCAAAACTCCTAAACAATTATGTCTTCAAGTTTCTGGGTTGCTGACATCACCGCATCGCTCGTCGCTCGGATCCTCTTAGATCCTTGCCTGGTTTCTTCTTCTCTTTTGGAAGATCTACCTGCGCCTGCAACAGTAGCACTTGGTGGCGTAAAGTGGCACCCCAATGCTTTTCGAACCAGCTCCCATCAGTCAACAGCTTCACAACAAGCTCGACCTTTCATTCAAGCAAACCGCTAAGACTCGCCTCTCGAGAGCCAGTGTCGGGTCCTGTCACTCAATACGGGGATCTTCAAGTGCGGAGCCAAGGACAAAATGAAGGCATCAACAATAGTGATGGCCCTTAACCTATTAGCGATGGCCTCCCACCTGATAGCGATGGCCTCCAGCCTACATAATGGCGATGGCCTCCCACCTAATAGAGATGGCCTACCTTAGCGATGGCCTCCAACTCCAACCTAAAAGATCCTAAAAGTTTTTAACAGGAGATAACAGGAGACACAGCTGCGATTCCGTGGTTGGCGTGACTTGGCTAGCGCCTTTGCGGCTCTGCCCGTAGCCATAGCCGTAGCCCTCCTTGACAACTAGAGGAGTAAGCCACTCTGGGACTTCCCCTATTGCAAAGCCAACAGTTTGAACCTGAACAATGGCAAATGACCCAATGATCCAAGCGACTTTCAAGGAAGGCTTAGTGACTTAGCATTGGCATAATTTTCAGCAGGATGATCAATCTCACAATTTGAAAGTGGTTTGGTCCAAGACCGTTAGACCATGCCCTCGCATCTCTGCATTCTCCTGGAAGGACCGGCTTCGAGATCGCTCAGGCCTGGAAGTGGTCAGCTCACGCATACGCTCATCCACACTTTTGAGATCGACTGGGTGCATTTGCCAGCAGTGACTCTTTGGCCTCCATAAGTAGCACACACATTCTCTCCACGTACACATGGGGCCTCCAAGAGTGATGCTCTTGAGCTGCGTCTCCTGTGTGGGTATGCCAAGTAAAACATTCCACTGAGGGAGGGATAGGGAGGGATGGATTGGAGGGAGGGGGAGGGACAGAGTCAGAGAGACAAAGACGAGAGCAAGAGTGTGAGGGTGAGGTGGATACGTGGTGAGCCTCGAATTGAATGCGCATTCAAACTTTTAGTGGAGTCCTCTTCGCCAGCTGCCATCCCAGCCGTTCCTTCCTTCCAGCATGCAGGGTGGTGCAACCTATCTAGCCGCCCAAAAAAAAACATATTCAAAAACATGCCATTTAACTTAGTCGGAACTTCTATATAACTTAACATAGTTGGTTCACACGATGTGGTGTGGTGCAACTCTTCATCAAACAACCCCACCAGTTTGAGGTTCGCCTCATCTGCGGGCCTAGCTGAGACCCAGGCCAGCACTTCGGGGGCGGCTGCTGTTCCGCTCCCTTTGCCGTTCTCTGGACCTTGAATATTGCCCAACTGGTGAACTCGCTCAGAACAATCCCCAAAATGAAATCGCTGCAGAACGCTTTGGCTTGCTTAGTGGCTTAGTCTTTTGATCTACGCTCGCGTTGAGCCTTTTGCCTTTGGCAAAACTCGTGCTGAGCCTCCGGAGGCTGAGGGATCTGCTCCAGGGCTTTTGTGTGCGCGTGACTCTCGCTCCAATTCTCGATCTTAAGGTTACAGTAGCTCCATCTTGGCCAGACACGGAGGAAAAGGGAGAGAGGCATGTACAGTAACCTTTCCCAACAGGCATACGCCTAATCACCAATTCTTGGAGCCTATTGCCAGTCACGAACACATTACATGTGCAAATTGATTCCCTTGATGAGCTTCGACAGAGTCTTAGACTCAGGAAATGAATGCATTAGCCTTGAGCCTGTAAAATCTGACCTAGCGGCCTAGCGACTGAACTGCCGCTTGTCATTAGGATCACGCTTGCCATACGGGTTGTCTGCAGAGAACTGGTGGCCTGAAGATTGCCCAGAAAGCTGCTTCTTCAGTGTTCCCTTCGTGCCAGTGGGCTTCTTTCTGGCCGTATGCTTGAGGTTCAGCTCTACTTTCGGAGGATGTGCAAATCCGAAGGCCTTCGCCACTTTTGCCAAATCTAGCTTGTGTACATCGAAGCAATCTTTGGCGCTGTGCGCGGCATAGGCATGCATGTAAGATCTGTACGCATCCCTAGAGCTTCTGTGCAAATGATAGTTCTTCTCGATCACTCTCCTTAAGCGGAGCAGGCATTCTGCGTGAAAGCAAATGAAGAAGACTATAGAAGACGAGGTTGAGTATCAGTCGCGCCACAAAGTTGGTTCGAATGGTTCACACATCTGCCACCAAGACTCTCAAGTTGCAACTGTATGTTTGCCTGAGCGACTCAGGAAGGAGCGTCCCACAAACGCTTAAGGGGCTTGACCGAAAACCCATCGCTTCATCCTTATATATATATATTGCTTTGTGGTCTTTTGAAAGGCTCACCACGGCTTGCACAAAAAAAAGCACATCCATGGATTCCTACATGATGCATACAATGAATGTTTGGGGATTGCTCAAGGGCGGAATGCGCATCTTGACTCCAACAAAAGTTGTGTTTTTTCGTAAGGACAACTATGGCAGTCGGTAGAACAGTGTTTGACCTTGGGTATAAAGACTCGTTGCAAGCAATTTCTCTCGCGGGAAGTCCTCAGGAAGATATATGGAGCAAATCTCATTGCAAAGGGCACTAGGGCAGGAGATGGCCAGTCCCTTTCGATGTCTTTCAGGGTTCCACATTGGACGGGAAAACTGTGATTCAGATGGATTCCTCGAAGTGTCACAGGAAAAATCCGCCCAGTCCTGTGTAGGTGGGTTGCTATGCACATCCCTCAGGACATGGTTGACAAAGCCAGAACCAGTGTTCTTGAGCCACTTGGGCCAAGGGCAACGTTCGCCTGCAGAAACGCATGAAACAGTGCTAACCGTGCTTTCGCTGGCACCGGCTGGTAAGGCTGCTGAGTGTCCTGTTTCTGTCTTGCGTGGTTGGTAGCAGGACATGAACAAGCCGACACTGACATGACTATGGTGGCTGGTGTTCTGCCTCAATGATGGATGGGACAACTACACTTATGGTCATCGTTTCCAGTTCCAAGCACACCCGTCTTGCACATGAGAGAGATAGTGTGTGTGTGTGTGTATGTACATATATATATATATTTATACACCAATGAGACGCCCAGGAGGAGCGGATAAAGAATGATAGAGACCGTGGATCCGATTGAAGTAGCCACTGTAAGGAACCTCTACACCAACTCTGACTCTAGTGCAACATGCTGGCTAGGTGGCGATCGCACCACTACACGCACCAAATAGCTAGATTCCTGCAGATCAACCACACCCTACTACTAGTAGCAAGAATCTACTAGTAGCTCCGAAGCTACTTAGTAGTAACAAGGTGCCTGACTACTAGGACCTACCAGGAGCAAGAAGCTACTAGGAACGAAGGGCACCGCTACTAGTAGCAAGAAGCTACTAGATTCCTTCAGATCAACCGCACTCTTGTCATTCAACAGCACCCTTGTTGTTGTCGTCGTCATCGTCGTGGTCTGTTATGATCTCTTGATAACTCTAACCGGCATCTCTGCAGTGCTGCCTGAGCTGCGATCTTACTTGGTGGAAAGCTGTACTCTGATACAGGAACGCCAGCCCGTCGTAGGTAGTGCAGAAATCCAAGCTCCTCCCATTAACCACCAATATGTTGCCAAAAAAACAGGCCCAATGAGATTTGACATCGCATGATGTGGTTGGCAATGCAAGCCACAGATTTCTGTTCAAAACAAATATTGGATCTTGGTGTTCAAAGTGGGATTTGAAAGTTTTCGCGGAAGTGTTCCAGACCCTAGAATTGTTGTGGGGGAGGTTCCCCAAAAGTCCCCAAAACGATGAAAATGTCCTCTCAATGCTATTATCTACCTTTTGGATGGTTTTCTTCTCCACTTCTCCACTGTCTTGGTTTTAGCTAACACGACCACCGCCATGACCTTCCGGTGCCGCCGGTGCTTCCTTTGCGTTTCCGATTGCCTCCTGCTCTTTCCTAATCTTTAGTCAAAGATCCCTTTGCATGTTCTTAGGTGCCTTTTCTACAAGTAATTCCTAGACCACACTCCGACTCCCTGGAAGTGTTGGACCCCGCATGGTCTGGCACTGGGGGCATTAGAATGAGCTGTGTAATGTACATTGCACGAAGTGCAAATGCGGCTTGCGACACCGTGCATCATATTATATAATCCGGAAAACCAGAACGGTTCAAGCTGTTGGTGGCATCAAGTGGTGGGTACAAGTTGTGGTTGTACAAGTTGTGTGGAAGCTGTTCTTCCATGGGCCCAAACATGTTCAAAGTGTAGTGGCTGTACAAGTTGTGGAGGAGTCTTGCATGGACACAAACATGTTCAAAGTGGCATCGGTCGGCATCGGTTGGGGCATCGGTAAGGCACTGCGGTGAGGAAGCTATTCAGTGGTTGGAAATTTGCATTTCTTGCAAGACGTCTTGTATACTGCCGTAAGCAACTCAATCTCAATTTGAGAAGGGCAACATACAAAGTGTTTGCGCCAGCTACAAGTGTAACGTGGCAGGCTGTGCTTCCTTAAGTGGTTGGTACATCGAAACGGCATCAGTAGACGGGTCAGCCTCCATCGGTTATGCAGGCTTGTTCCTAGTAGCGTCCTTGTTACTACAATAGCTTTTTGTTACTACTAGTAAGGCACTTGTTACTACTAGCGTGGCACTTGTTCCTAGTGCACTAGATTTTGTCGGATGATATAATGTGTACAGTGTATATATAATATATACTGTGCGTGTGTGGCAGTGTGTAGGGATGCTTTATCTACATGCCGAGCTTGGCCAAGCGCTCTCGGTTAGCAACGGTCAATCATCCAAACAACCCGATCCACTTGATTTAGTGATTCACCTAAACTTATATAACATGTGTGGCTTGAATCGGCCAGTGTGTGTCTTCTAAATTATTTCATATGGTTAAGGCCAGGATCCTTGTTTTAAAAGAAATCGGAAAATATATATATATAATTATATAACAATGTCAAATGGAAAAGTCAAAATCAAAAGTAGTCAAATGGAAAAGTAAAAAGTCCAGAATAGATCACAACTCAAAAAAGTCAAAAGCAAGTCAATTAAAAAAATAAATGTCAAAAAACCGTGGAAACAATGTAAAATTAACACCAAAATACAAAACTAGAAAACCCAATCAAAAAGAAAGTCTAATAAAAGTCAAACAAAAAACAACAACTCAATTTTTTTAAAAAAGATACAGCAACGTCAAATAAGAGTCGTAAAAAAATACAAAATTAGAAGAACAAAAGTAAAAAAAATGTCGGATCTTGGCCAATTTACTCTTGTTGACTGTCTGAAACTTCTGATTTTGCGTTTTTGACTTTGGCTTTTGGCACCGACTATTTGACGCTTTTTGACTTTATTTATCTTGAAAACAGGCTCTCTCTCCAATGAGAGATTTTAGAATTCTAATCCGTCCTTGGCGGCACCCCAATATACCCCAATTCATTGTCAAAGTAGAAAGCCACAACTAGTCGGGCATCGTTCATGAGGGAGTTTGCAGTAGACATGGGAAGTTTAGGCCGACAAAATTGCAAATTCAGCAACTCAAGTTTTTGATGAGGGAGCTCTTCTTGCCCAAATTGGTGTCAGCTGCAGGAGGCCGAAGGGCCAAAAGACTAGGGCCTCATAAGAGCTGTTTTTTGGGAGGGATGCTGCTGCTCATTGTCTTGAGTGCTGCTCACTGTCACTATTTTCTGCTGGAGGCTTATCGATCTTATGGTAGGATAGTCTGTGTAGCCTTGCAACTACCGGGAGCTCTCTGAAGAAACGCGGGTGCCCTCGGCAAAACGATTTTTTTCCAAGGACCCTCCTGACAACGTCCAACATCGTGTCATACAAAAATTTGTCTCAGTTTGCCAGCTCCCTGGCTCTACCTCTCTCACCCTCATTCTGCAAAGCAGGTCCTCGGGCATCAGGAAAAGAAGCGCCTTTCCTTTGCCACTTGCTCCTCGAGCGGTTCGCCCCACTCGGTGGATATACTCCTGACAGGCGTTTTTTGGGTTCATACCAGTAGGGCAGCTGTTGGGACGACTCATGTGTCAATAAAACAATCCAAACGCAACAGTTTGCCTTTGGTTCATCAGGAGGATCATACCTGACATTGTGAGCACATGTCAGCTGTCAAAGAGCAATTCAAGAGCTCATAAGCAGTTGTGACTATCGTGATGTGCAAATCGTTCACGTTCATTATTTCTGTCAAGCTGCTGGACAATCCAATCCACTTTGGGAATGTCTAGGCCACGAGCTGCAACATCAGTACATATCAGAATCCCCTTCTCAGCACCACAAAACTGATAGTACCTCAAGTTAAAGCTACGATGACCACTGAACCACTACACGCGGCAATATATACTGTAATCT